AAGAAAAAGTGAGGAGGGAGGGCGTGAAAGAAAAAGGGGAGGGAAGGGGGGTGGGGGGATGGGTTAGCCCGGTGATGGGTATTAAGGAGGGCATGTATTGCATGGAGCACTGGGTGTTATTTGCAAACAATGAATCATGGAACACTACATCAAAAACTAATGATGTAATGTATAGTGACTAACATAACATAATAAAATTAAAAAAAATACTAATCCAGTGCTCAGATTCTGAGTTGACAAAAATGAAGTTATAAAGCCAATCAAAAAAAATCATACTAAAGAAGCTTAGTGAGCTACAAGAGGGCACAGACAGCTAGTGGAAATCAGGAAGGCAATACATAAACAAAAGAAGTTCAACAAAGAGATAAAAAACATAAAAAAAGAACCCAACAATTTCTGGAGCTGAAGAATATGGTGACTTCATTGAAGAATTCAATAAAGAGCTTCAACAGCAGACTCAAGAAGAATCATTGAACTTGACAGATAATTTGAAATCCAAACAGGAACAAAAAGAAAATTCAAAAGAGTGAAGAAAACCTATGTAACTTATGGGATACCATCAAAGGACACAATATAGACATTTGAGAACCTCAGAAAGAACAGGGAAAGAGAAAGGGGTAGAAAAATTACTTAACAAAATAATGCCAGAAAAATCCCTAAATCCAGGGAAGGAGATAACCCTCCTGATTCATGATGCTCAAAAATCTCAAAAGAGGCTGAACATTGAGAGATCCTCACTGAGACATTATAATCAAATTGTCTAAAGGCAAAAGACAAAGAGAATTTGGAAAGCAGCAAGGAAAAGTGAATTGCTACGTACAAGGCTACTCCCAAAAGACTACAAGCAGACTTCTCAGCAGACACCTTGCAGGCCAGGAGAGAGTAGGATGAAGTAGCCAAAGTATTAAAAGAAAAAAACCTGCTAATCAAGAATACTTTACCTGGCAACACTATCCTTCAGAAATGAATGAGAGGTAGACTTTCCCAGACAAACAAAAACTAAGCAAGTTCATCACCACTAGACTTGGTGTACAATAAATGCTAAAGGGATTTCATCAAGTTGAAATGAAAGGATGTTAAACAGCAGAATGAAAACATGAAAGTGTAAATCTCCCTGGAAAAAATAAGTATGTAGTCTAATTCAGAATACTTCAATACTGTAATGGTGGTGCTTAAATCATTTTTAATGCTAGTATAAAAGTTAAAACCCAAGAATACTAAAAGTAACTGTAGCTACAATAATTGGTTAAGGGATACACATTACAGAATGATGTATATATCGAGGCATCTGGCTGGCTCAGTTGGTAGAGCATGTGACTCTTGGTCTTGGGCATCATAATCCCTGATTTCAAGCTATATTACAAAGGTATAGTTATCAAATATTATGGTATTGTCATATAAACAGACGCATAAACCAGGGTAACCCAGTAGAGAGACCAGAAATTAACACACATATATACAGTTAACTAATCTTTGACTAAGGAACTAAGGATACAAAATAGGAAAAAGATGGTCTTTTCGAAAAAACTGTGTTGAGGAAACAGGATATCCACATGCAAAAGAATGAAATTGAACCCTTATTTTAAAACATGCATAAAGGGCACCTGGGTGGCTCAGTTGGTTAAGCGACTGCCTTCGGCTCAGGTCATGATCCTGGAGTCCCGGGATCGAGTCCCGCATCGGGCTCCCTGCTCAGCAGGGAGTCTGCTTCTCCCTCTGACCCTCTTCCCTCTCGTGCTCTCTATCTCTCATTCTCTCTCTCTCAAATAAATAAAATCTTAAAAAAAATAATAAAAATAAAAAAAAATAAAACATGCATAAAAATCAAACCAGCAGTGATTAAAGACTTAAACATAAGACCTCAAACTGTAAAGCTCCTAGAAGAAAACAAAGGGAAAAGCTCCATGACATTGTTTTTGGCAATGGTTTTTTGGATATGGCACCATAAGCCCAGGCAATAGAAACAAAATTAAACAAGTGGGACTATATCAAACTAATAACTTTTTGCACAACAACAAAAAATCAACAAAATGAAAAGGCAGCCTCTGGAATGAGAGAATATACTTGCAAACCACACATTTGATAAGGGGCTAATATCCAAAATACATAAGGAACTCATACAACTCAATATCAAAAAGGCAAATAACCCATTTGAAAAATGGGCAAAGGACCTGAATAGACATTGTTTCAAAGAAGACATACAAATAGCCAACAGATACATGAAAAGTGCTCAACTTCATTAATCATCAGGGAAATGAAAATCAAAACCACAGCGATAATGGTCATACATGTTAGAATGATTATCAAAAAGACAAGAAATAACAAGTGTTGGCAAGCTGTAGAGAAAAGGGAACACTTGAGCACTGTTGGTGGGAATGCAAATTGGTACAGCCACAATGGAAAACAGTATGGAGGTTCCTCAAAAAATTAAAAATAGAACCACCATATGGGCTAGCAATTCTACTTCTTAATATTTATCCAAGGAAAATGAAAACACTCTATATATAGCTGTATACAGAAGAATGAAACTTGACCATTCTCTTACACCATACACAAAGATAAACTCAAAATGGATGAAAGACCTCAATGTGAGACAGGAATCCATCAAAATCCTAGAGGAGAACATAGGCAGTAACCTCTTTGACATTGGCCACAGCGACTTCTTTTAAGACACGTCTCCAAAGGCAAGGGAAACAAAAGCAAAAATGAACTTTTGGGACTTCATCAAGATAAAAAGCTTCTGCACAGCAAAAGAAACAGTCAACAAAACAAAGAGGCAACCCACAGAATGGGAGAAGATTTTTGCAAATGACACTACAGACAAAGGGCTGATATCCAAGATCCATAAAGGACTTTTTAAACTCAACACCCAAAACACAAATAAGTCAAAAAATGGGCAGAAGACATGAACAGACACTTCTCCAAAGAAGACCTACAAATGGTTAACAGACACATGAAAAAATGTTCATCATCGTTAGCCATCAGGGAAATTCATATCAAAACCACAATGAGATACCACCTTAAACCAATTAGAATGGCAAAAATTGACAAGGCAAGAAACAACAAATGTTGGAGAGGTTGTGGAGAAAGGGGAACCCTCTTACACTGTTGGTGGGAATGCAAGTTGATACAGTCACTTTGGAAAACAGTGTAGAGGTGCCTCAAAACATTAAAAATAGAGCTCCCCTATGACTCAGCAATTGCACTCCTGGCTATTTACCCCAAAGACACAGATGTAGTGAAAAGAAGGGCCATATGCACCCCAATGTTCATAACAGCAATGTCTGCAATAGCCAAACTGTGGAAAGAGCCGAGATGCCTTTCAACAGACGAATGGATAAAGAAGATGTGGTCCATGTATACAATGGAATATTACTCAGCCGTCAGAAAGGATGAATACCCAACTTTTGCGTCAACATGGATCGGACTGGAGGGGATTATGCTAAGTTTCTCACTGGCTCTCAGACTTGAGGTCTAGTTAACTATTCTGAGCACTTTAATCAAAGATGGGCAGCTTAGAAACCTGGAAGACACTTTGACTCTCTCCCTGAGTTTCTACAAACTCTTATCTCAAAACATCTGCATACTTCAAAAGCTCAAGCCAAGTCCTGATTCCTTTCTGAAACTTTCTTGACCCATAAGCTCACTGCAAGCCTCCTTCCTTCCAACTTTATGGATAACATTGCCTGGCTCTCATACTCAGTTTCATGGGGGCAGATTCTGGCCCGCCTTCCCACCCTGGTCCAGGGAAGCATGGTTTTGGATGGCTGGCCTTGATTTACACCATAGATGATGTAAGGACTTCTACCAAAAGTTTATCCTGGGATAAATAAATGTACGTTGTATGCCCAACTAACTCCTAGAGGTATTTCAGATTGATGCCCACTCTCTAAATTGAAATGACAAAGATCTAATGTTCCTTCCATTGAGGAGGTGGAGAACAGAGAGGACGCATGAAAGTCCCTACCTTCCTCTATCAGGAAATAGGTGCAGCCAGAAGGGGGTTGGGAGACAGGTGACCCTAGTTCATGTCCCATACAGTATTTCTAAAGACTTTTGAAGATCATCATTAGCTCCATTTACCTATTCTGCTGCCTGGAGGTCCTCTGTTCTTGATCTTGGAAGATATGCTGTGCCATTTGTCCTTGAACAGAAACCAGAAACTCTGGAGCTGAAGATGGAGATAGCTCTAGGCCCTGGGAAGGCACAAATGATAGGGGGAGAGGGCAGGTGTATAGTGAGAAGAGCAGCATTTACTTACTAGAGAACTACCGGGACAGAGGTCTCCATAGTTCCTGAAGCATCTGTGTTTTGAATGGGTCAATGTGTGTCTGAAAAAGTAGGTGAAGAAAGAGAAACAACCTGAGTAAAAAATAATAGCCGGCTGAGATTGGGGCTAAGGAGCTGGCTAGAGGCTCTTTCAGGTGAAGGTGGGCTCAAAGGCAAGGATAAGAAGTAGTGTATAATGAATTCAAGATAGGAAAATTCCCTATCCCACTACCCCACAGTCAGAATCTTCATGGTCAACTAAGGGTAGCACTACAGGCTGGAAGTCTATCAGCTCCAGCCTTCAAGTGCTTTGTAGAGGAGGAGGGAAATCTCATAGTTGATAGTGTCAAAAATACATGGAGTTGAGAGGCTAAAGTAGTGACCTAGACAAGAGTTAAATGCTCCTCTGAAAATTTGCTTCCCAGTTTCCCCCTCTCATCCTTCCCCACCTCCAAACCCAAGTCAGAACTAGTCCAGTTATGCCCAGAAAGTTACCCAGCTGGACTTCCCAAGTTGTACCTCACCCACCCCTTTCCCCCTAGAATTTCTCCTCTTTGAGCCCCATCTCACAACAACCCCATCTCATCTGCTCCTTATCTACCTTGCCCTTTTCAACTCTCTGTGACTTCAGCTGTGACATCATAGATCTGAGACAGTTGGCTGTCCCCTCCCACCCTCAGCCCAGGCTCCATTCAGTCCAAATGATAATGATAAAATAATGAGATATTATGAAATTTGAGTTTTAATTTGTAAGATTTTTGCTGCTTCATTGCCTTCCACCCAGTGCTTCTGAGAGACAGTAGGAATGAGCTTAGAGGAATCCACCTTTAACTTTGAATTTCAAAACAAGGTCTGAAAAATTTGGCTTTCAATTTCTTAAAAAACTTTTTAAAATCCCAGTATACTTAACATACAGTGTTATATTAGTTTCAGGTATACAATATAGTGATTCAACGATTCCATACATTACTTGGTGCTCATCAAGATAAGTGTACTCTTAAACTTCTTCACCTATTTCACCCTTTCCCTCGCCACATCCCCTCAGGCAACCGCTAGTTTATTCTGTGTTTAAGAAGTTTTTATTTTGGTCTCTTTTTTCTTTGTTCATTTGTTTTATTTCTTAAATTCCACATATGAGTGAAGTCATATGGTATTTGTCTTTCTCTGTCCGACTTATTTCACTTAGCATAATACCCTGTAGATCCATCCATGTTGTTACTAATGGCAAGATTTCATTCTTTTTATGGATGAGTAATATTCCATTGTTTTTGTATATACACCACCTCTTCTTTATCCATTCATCTATTGATGAACACTTAGGTGGCTTCCATATCTTGGCTATTATAAATAATGCTGCAATAAACATATGGATGCATGTATCACTAAATTAGTGTTTTCATTTTGGAATCCTTGTGTACCTTGTGCCCTCAGGCAATTCCACTGGGAGGCAACAGCTGGAAGCTTGTGCTTGGTTTCTCCTGGATTTTGCCACATGTGCTTTTTCCCTTTGCTTTTTCCCTAACCCTGTAATAAACTGTAACCATAATTAGGACAGCTTCCGAGTCCTGTGAGTCTTTCTGGTGAGTCATCAAGCCTGAGGGTATTCTTGGGACTCCCAACATAACGTCCCAAATCTCAGCAGCTTAGAACTGGAAAGGTTTGTTTTTTGTTCACATTACATGTCCTTTCTTGGTGGTGGTGGTGGGGGCTTAGAGGAAGTGCTCTGCTCTATATCATCCTCACTCACGTAATCAAGCTGAGGCAGTTCCTTCTTCATGCTTCAGCAATTTCTGACATAGGAAAACAAAAACATGATGAATCATGCCTGTTTTAAAAACAGTTTCCTTAAACCGACACGTAACCTTTACTCATATTTCATTGGTCCAAATAAGACACATAGGCACACTTAGCTTTGAGGCGGCTCAGAAGTTCTCTCCCATCATGGGGTCAGACAGAGAACTGGAGTATCGGTGAATAGCATTGCTAATTACCTCAGCATCTACAAGCTCGGAAAGTCCTGGCTTGAGACATCTACCATTTAGAACAGGATCTATTATGCAGAGAAAAAAAATTACATAAGGAAACTGGAAAAGTACAGTTACATAACATTTAAGGAACTATAGAAATCAAAGAAGAGAGAGGCAGTTCAGATTTGTTAAGAATAAGATTTTGGTGCACAAACAATGTGCAGTTCCTGAAGAGGAGGATAGATGGAAGCCAGCTTACAGGGAAAGTGGGTTTAAGAAAAGAATTGATGGATAGGAAGTAATGTTAGTATACCTGGACATGCTGTTGAAAAGCACAGCAGCAGAAATAAGAGAAAAGATTTGATAAATTCTACTAAACTGCTTAAAATCTGTGTTTGAAAACCTACATAAAAGATTTACATGTTTTGGTGAAGATAAAAGTATATGAGTCTGTTCATCCAATGCTGAGACATTTCAATCTTTCTAAAATGAGAAGTATCACCAGGATAGGGATTTTGTAAAAAAAAAAAAAAAAAGCCATGAGGTATCCTCATGGAAAGGGTGTATCAGGGATGAAACAATAATGAAGAGAGATCAAGAAGTTGATGTTAACATCAACTTATTTTATTTTGTGAATGTTTGTTAAGCACCTGCTGTGTCTTGAGAACTAGGATGGAAACAGTGAAATAGCTGGAGGAGATGGTCCCAGTCCTTGAATGGCCCTTTTGTAGTTAAGCAGTAATGTTTGGGTGAGCTATGCAGTAATTGACAATGTTAATCAGGGAGGAGGTCAACAGAGTGGTCACTGTTACAATAACAAAACAGTAGAAAGGATGTGTGAACAGTTACGGAAAGGAGGAGTCTATTCTATCCAAACATCCCAGTAATAAAATGCCATGAATGTTTAATTATTTGAGTTATGTGTTTTAAATGTTTACAGTTCAGGATTGTAACTGGTGTAATCCCTCTCCTGTAGCAGTCAACTAATATTTTCTAAATCCAGCTAGCTTCTGAACAATTCTAGTGAGTGAGGCTGAAGACAATTTATGCTTTCAATTGGCTGTAGCAGATCAGGCTGGAGCTTACTAGGAAAGCCTCAAGGGTATCCCCTCTCTTTTTTTGCATTTCTGATACTTTTGCGGAGAAGAAGCTGAAGACAAAGTGGGCATCTGGTCAGTTTCTTCAGAAGTCTTTAGATGAGGGAGGCTAAAGTCGTTGCCCAAGCAGTTGTTCTTGAGGTTGGACCCTGGGGACCTGTTTCCACAATTATCCTCAGCTAAGCTTCCCATGATCTGTCAGAGGAGGCAGAAGCTGCTGGAGCCTGAAGAGATCAGTGTAGTTTGCAGTAACAAGACCCCGAGATACCTGGCAGAATCTTACTTCCCATTCTTTTCGCCCTGTGGCTAATAATGCTCAATGAGATCACAGTTGCTTCTCCCCAGGAAAATATTTTAATGTCATTGTGGATGTAGAGAATGCCAAACAAAAGGAAAAGCGAAAGCCAGAGAAGGCAGCTGACTGGAGAGGCTCACAGGCTTTTGGGCATTGAGGCCGACTTACCCAACCCACTAGAGAGAAAGTCAGATGAGCCAAGGGCCTTTCAGAATAATTGTCCCTGCCTGAGGCTCTGGAGGCTCAATTTCCTCTAGTCATTCTCAAAGTGTAGTCCTCAGACCAGATGCATCATCAGTATTGGCCTGCAAAGTTTAGCAAGTCAAGTTCTTGGGCTCCAGCCCTGTACCTACTGAATCAGAAGCTCTTGGGGGTGGGGCAGCCATCTGTTTTAATACGATTCAGAGGCACTCCAAAGTTTGGTAACCACTGATGTAGTTGGGTTTTTGTTTTTTGGATTTTTTTGTTTGTTTTGATTTGATTTTTTTTTTTGATAGGATTACCAAGCACACAGTGGAAGGAGGTGAGCTATCTATCCACTACTAGGTTCAGACAAAACCGGCATTTTTTGTATTTATTTTGTACTGATCTTATGGCTTATTCATCTTCGAGTTCTGGAATGAGACCCTGATGATCACCTGTCACAGGCTGGTCAGATTCCATTTAATTCCATACTCTTTGGAATGTCTGCTGTTTGCTGACATATTAGAGACCACATGAGACAGAAAGTTAACATTAACCTTAATGTGTGATTTAAGAACTACAAACAAAATACCTAGAAACCACCAAGAAGGGAAGGATTTTAACAGTAGGCTCAAATATGAATATTCAGGATAGCATTAAAGATTCTCTGCAGACTGGTTGTTATAATTATGATAATGTATATTCCTTGATTCAAAGATGCACATTTTTCATGTTTTAGTGTTTCTGAAATTCAAATGCATCTTACAGTTGATCTGTATCTTTAACATGATTTATTCTGCTTGACAAAAATATTAGCAATTAATAGGTGGTTTACCTTTTTCAGCAAATGACAGCTTAGAGGCAAATATATTAATAACCCAGCACTAATGGCTAGACAATGTGCTAAATGTTATGTGCACATCTCACTTAATTCTCACAACCAAGCTATGATAGTGCACAATTGTCAAATCCATTTTCTAGGCAAGGAAACAGGAGAAAGAGAAGTAGACTGCGCAGAGTAACAAGGCAGGTGAAGAGCAGAGCTGGGATTTGAGTTCAGCTGTGTTTAATTCCAGAGTCCATCCTTTTAATCTCAAGTATTACATGTTCACATCTCTCTCCCTTTACTAAACTGTTTCTTCTGCCTGGAAATTTTTTTTCTCTTCTCTTCCTAAAACTTGGTAATCTAGACAAGGCAAAGTCAAAGTATCTTTCCTGTGAAGATTTCCCTGACCATTTGATAAAGAATGTTTGTTTTTCTCCTCAGAACTCCCATAGCAATCTTGTCACACTGTTATAATATAAATTGCTATGTTGCATTATAGCTGTTAATACAACTTTCTTCCACACAATGTAAGTGTCTTAAAGGAAGGGACTCCGTCTTACTCATCTTTATAACCCCAGAGCCCAGTACAGTGCCTGGACAACAAGACTTTTGGCTGAATTGCTTAAACAAGTGTGTTCCTCCTACTTTACTGAGATATAGAGAAAGCTTTACAGACTTAAAATATCATTTATTGAGTACAAACTGCTGACATAGTATTATCTAAGAGCTTTACATGCTTTATAAATGTCTTGAGATAAATGAGTAAAATATTTAAAATAGCCTGTAACACATGTTAAAGACTCAATGTTATTATTTTTATTATTACTATTTTTAACTGCAAAACTCGCTAAACTGACTTGCAAAAACTCACTGAAATAGTTACTATGATTGTCACTATAGATAAGTAAACTAAATAATAGAGGGCTAAGTAACTTATTCACAGACAAATATGCAATAAAATATAAATATATTTGTATATGTACAAATATATACAATAAATATGGACATTTTGAACTTTGATCTTCATATACTTATAAAGAAAGACCCAGATTTTATATATATATAAATATATTATTTATATATAAATTCTTTATTTATAAATAATTATAAATATTTGTAAATATATAAATTATATATAAATATATATTTCATAATTTTACATAATACATAAAAGAGCAAT